TTCTTTCAAAAATTACCACTAAACTGGGCCAAAACATTACATTTTTCAACGTTAAAATGAATCAAAAAACATTACATTTTTGTTTGTTCCGTCTATAAACAATATAAAGAGTCAATCCTGAAATTAGTAACTCATTCGTGTACAATGTAACATATGCTGTGCGTGTGTGTGCTACCATACAGTTTGGCCAGTAGAATGCTTGGTATGTTTTTATGACGATATTAAATCTATTGGTGAGATCTAAAAGAACGCAAGTGTGTTCGACTTTGTCGCAATAAAGGAATGTATGTTTTGCGCCAAGTAAATTTTGAAAAAAGAGAGTATGTATTACGGCTGAATCAGTTATTGGAAAAGGAATGCATGTTTCGCACCAGATAAATTTTGAAAAAAGAGAGTATGTATTTCAGCTGAATCAGTTGTTGGAAAAGGGATGCATGTTTCAGTTTTGTTGGTTTGGATAAAAGAACGTAAGTGTCTTGGTTCTGGAAGTGGGCTTTGGTGAATCCTCAGGATCATCAGAACCGCTCCCAGTTCTGGAAGTGGACCCTCAGGATGGGCCAGGGCATTGTCAAACCATAGTCTGGTCCATCCTGAGGATCCACCAAAACCCACTTCCAGAACTGGGAGCGTTCTGATGATCCTGAGGATCCATCGAAGCCAAGTTCCAGAAAAATCATCGTTAAACATGCATCCCTTTTTTAACAACTGATTCAGAATCACTTACTTTCCTTTTGCAAAATTTATTTGGTGCGAAACATGCGTTCCTTTATCAGCAACTGATTAAGCCGGAAAACATACTTTCCTGTTACAAAATTTTTTTGGTGCAAAACATACTTTCCTTTTAGTAAGACAGAATTGGCAAAACACATACATTCCTTTTATAAAATTTAAAGCGAAAAAAAAAAACATACGTTCTTTTAGATCTCACCCATAGATATATAAATATTCATTTCGACTTAGATTATAAGCGATTTATCGTATAAATAAATTTTCTTGTAATTTTACAATTCATTTGAAATAAAACGAAATATTGAAAATTTTGTTTTGATTTATTTTATTATAAACGTTAATAATTTTTTTTTGTGCAAATATTATTAGTGAAAAAAGTTTTTTTTTTATTTGTTGCAATCAACGTCTTTAATTTCAAGTCACAGCCAGGGAGAAATTACTGTATTCAGAGATTGAGAGCTACTCAAATCAAAAAGTAGATCTGTAAGAGAGAATGATAATTTATTTTACATTCTCTAAAATAGGCTTACACCATTTTAAACTTTGTTTCATATCAACGCCGATGCTGGCCATCAACTGGAAATTCAGGTAGCTGAGTGTGCGTCGAATGCAAGTGTAAATCAAAGATTCGGTGTTATAGCAAAAGTTTTACTCATTGATTTTTGTTGAGAGAAAAGAGAACTCTTGTCAAAGTACACGAATAAAAGTCACCAAGAACTTTGAAGTTCTCCTTAAGTCTTTTATAAAATTAATAAAGCAAAGGTGTCGCATCCTCATTGAACACTCAACTTTTCTGAATTTTCGGACAACAGTAGCTCTGATGAGTGAAACTCGGTTTTGTTTTCATCAAAAGTTGATACGTTTGGTTGTTTTTAGCAACAAAAAAAAAAACGAAGTACCTTTGGGTCCGCTTCCTTCATACATCTACTATGAAGATATATTCTTTCGCAATCGTCTTCTGCAGTCATATTACCCGGGCAAGCGACAAATAGTTTACCAAGAGCCGTTTTGAGTTCGTCACTCATATTAGAAAGGAGCGGTTCGAATGTTGACATATTCACATCGCCATTCGGAGCAATCGCGTTGCTGAAAGAAAACCTCAGAATTAATATTTCTTATTTAAAAAAACGAACATACACTACTTACGATTCCCGGAATATACACGCCATATAACATTTAACTGATTGTTTGGCATCTAGACTATCGCCGACATCATATTCTTTGATAGCCTCTAAAAATGCACATTTGAATTTATTATAAATATCTGTGTTTCAAGAGAAATCGTGACATAAACTGTTCTTACCATCACTGATACCAATTTGAGCTTGGCATTTCTTGCGAATTGGTGCTAAAAACTTCAGAAGCTCTGGTGTAGGCCACTAAATGAAAATTTCAAAAAACATGTTTTTTTTTTATTTTTCGTCTCGGAAAATTATCAATAACAATATTTCAAGTGGAAATAATATTTACTTCGTCGTTACGGAGCACTTCACGGGCATTTAGCTGACCCAACTGTAACAGTGTTACAAACACAAATAGCGAAAATGCAATAAATTTCATTTTGAAAATTTTTCTTTCGATTTCACTTCGATCACTGATGTTCGAACTGCTTTGGTTTCCCCTTTATATACAGTTTCCAATTTGAATGCGTATGGTAATTGTGGTGAATTTTTCGCATTTAATTATTAGCAATTAAAACTGTCAATTAGTATCAGAATAAAAAACCTCTCTTTGCGAGGTTGAAAGAGAGTGACGCTGTGTGGATAGATTCGGCATAAAAAGGACTGATATCAATTTGTGTCCATTGGAATAAAAGCGGCAATACAAAAACGGAATCTGAAGAACGTTACATAATTTTTTTTACATAGTATAACCAGTGACCGGTTCGCGCATATTTTTATGCCTGATAGCTATGCTAAGCATAGCGGAGACGCAAGCCGCAACGCACCCGTCGCCATTCGATTCGAGCTATATTGTATGCGCACGGTCGTCTGCATAAACGAACATGTGTATTGTTCATATAGAGTGAACGGCGATGCGTCGGTTGCGTTTGCGGCTATGCTTGGCATATCTATGCTACCTAGCGTATTTAGGCAAGCATAGAAATATGTGCGAACCGGTCACTGCTTTTTCTTCGGAAAACCAATACGTTGCCGATAAATCGATCAAATTTAATCGATCATTTTATATTTATTTATTCACCGTCTGATCACAGACTGATTTTATCACAATTATTTATAATATCATTTGCAATGAAACACTACCCGATCGAATACACGCCGCCAGTGTCCATTGTATATTACTATTCATAACACAATTTTTCTTAGTCTATTTTACCGAATTTTAAATAACAAATTGTCCAATTTAACAATACTACTTCTAATAAAAAGGAACCTACATCCGTAAGTCTAGCTTACCGAACGAATATTTATTTCCCGAGAGATATTGAACATGTACTGGTAATTTCTGAGAGCAATAAGGTTTTTTGGCCAATTAATATACAGTAAAACCTGTATTAATAGACTATTGACGTATAAATAATTCAAAATATGAAAAATTGAATTTGTCCCATGGATGGCCATGGGCATCACACCAGACATGACACTTCACTCTGTCAACCAAAGTGGCTCAAAATCTAATGATTTCTATTCCTCGGCACCCCCAATCATCCTGTGAAGCCAAATTTTGAATTACTTTTCTTGTTTGAAAGTTATCGTGTTAACCAATTTTTGCATACAGGGTACAGGGTACCACGCACATACATCCGGACATCGAAAAAACGCTAGATTTGTGTTCCCTGGCTCCTAAAGCACCCAGAAAACACACTAGGTGTGTGCGGAAAAGTAAAATATATGCTTATATCAAGCTTGAAAAAACAGCGCGAAACATATTCATTGCAGATAAAACGATCGATAAGTTCAAGTGCCACTTCAGGTTAAGCATTTTCCATTTCATATGCTGATAAGCAATTCAATGGTAATGAAATGAAAAAATCCGTCATGAATATCAAAAGTAATACATCAGGTTGATCGGCTGGAACCATATGATCTGTATAAAACTCCGGCGTTCGCAAAATTTTCGGTTACTTCTATAGACGAAAAATGGGAACAAACAAATAAAGCAAGACTTTTTTGAGTTTATTTAAACCCGGTATATGAATAACTATTGCAGTTGAAAAGTGTTTGGATCTATATGATATGAATGAACTAGATACGTAAAGAAATAAGTGATTAAAGAGAACAACTTTATTCCGCGTAAGTCGTTAATCGATTTTAGCGAATTCCAGTGAGTCTGACCGACACTAAATAATTATTTTCGTCTCAAATATGGAATTTATAAAAAACAGGTTTCTACATCATCCACAAATTCGTTAAATTCTACTGCTTATGCAATAGACATGTTCACATATGTGTTCAATGGCTTGCATGCTTGCATTGTATATCTATTCTTTGTTGCATGTTTCATATATACGCTATTTCGCTTCGTGCACATTCCATTTACAATACGTTCACTTGTTCGTTATGGGCAATATGAATTCTTCATTATTTCTATTTCATTGCTTCGAATAGAAAAAATGTGAGACCCACTGTGCTTCGTTTCACACTACAATGTTATTAAATGGACCCTGACCATATGGTTCTGGGTTAATTGTCCGATGAAATCGCATTTTTATTTTCTAATGCCAATTCTTTGATTTGATTTTAACAGAAATAATTTATTATTGCATAGTCTCCCTTCTACCGCACAGTTCTGACCGCTTTACCATCGCTTTTTGTTCAAATCGATGATTTATGAAACTCCATTCAGTCTCTAAGCTACAGCGATTCAATCAACAAATTAATTTCCAGTATTAGGTGCACCGCAGTGAAAGTAATACAATAAAAAAGAATGGAAGTCAAATTTTCAATCAACAATCGACCATTTACAGGTGTCATTCTTGTATTTTTCGTGCATAAAACCAATTTTTATTCAAATGTCAATTTAAATCGAAAATAATTTTTATATTTTTGATTAAAAAAAAAGTGAATCCATCAACAGTTCCGGTCGATACAACGCTGAATACATTCATAAGAAGTTATGCCAGGTTGACGGGAACGAAATTTATGTGTCTGGAGGGTGGTTGCGGCGTTTGTTGCGTCAATATTACTGGATTAAAAACTGCTTCGAATGAATTGCGATCAATTGCAGTGAATTCAGTGAGTTTTCTGTGGAAATGTGTTTTTTGTGATTTTCAAACGAGGTTTTTTCACTTCAAATCGGAGGTTTCAGTGTTTTTAAACAAGATTTTGGTATTTTTCAAAGTTTTGGATTTTGAAATGGGCCCAAAGCTCACTTTTGTGTCTTTCTTCAAACCGAAACCAATCGATTATTAACATATTCTTCCCTAACTATTTTTTTCATTATTTTCAAAAGTGTCTTTGGTTAGTATACTCATGCCATGGACTGAATGTGACGACAATCGAAGGTAAAGTGGACAATTTCTCACTCTCAGTGCTTTGTTTCTGACATTCTTGTGTCTTGAAGGTCTTGGTGGCCGTGAGTATGGTTACCATCCGATCCAGCACACACTTTACGAATACAATGGCAGTCAATGTGGTTATTGTTCGCCCGCAATGATTATGAATATGTATAGTTTACTTGAGCAAAACGGTGGTAAAGTGACGGTAAAACAGGTGGAAAATTCATTTGGTGGAAATATGTGCCGATGTACTGGATATCGACCAATTTTAGACGCGTTCAAATCACTAACAATCGATTCGCCCGTCAATGACATTGAAGACGTTGCCACGGTGTCATGTTGTCGCCCGAAAAAATCAACACATTATCGTCACACATCAATCAGTTGCGGAACAACATCGCTCGGTGAAGTTTGTAATATGCTGCACTTGACGTTTTGCGACAGTCGCGTATGGTATCGCATTACATCATTGCAACAATTACTTGACACACTGCGAACCATAAAAGACGAATACATTTTAGTGGCCGGAAATACAGCGCATGGTAAATTACAAACAAAATTGCGCAGTAAAGTGAACGTCAAATGACTAAACATTTATTTTTTCAGGTGTGTATCGACGGTCAAATACCATAAAGCATTTTATTGATGTAAATGCGGTTGCTGAATTGCACAAAGTATCAAGTCGCCGAAGTAAATTAACGGTCGGTGCAAATGTTTCGCTGAACGAATTTATGGATATTTTGGAAAGTGTTGCAGCAGACAAACCAGACTTTGCTTACGGCAAAGAAATGGCACAACACATTGATTTGATCGCAACAGTTCCAGTGAGAAATGTAAACAGTTTTTTTTCGGTTTTTCTACATGACTTTGTTCCAACTTGAACTTATTGATATTCTATGCTTTGTAGACTGGAACAATAGCGGGTAATTTAAGTCTAAAGCACGAACACAACGAATTTCCATCCGATATTTTTCTACTATTGGAAGCGATTGGTGCTGAATTGAACATCATTTCAGTCGATGGATCGATGGAGTCATATTCACCGAAGCGTTACTTGTCATTGGACATGCGACAAAAGGTCATTTTGAATATTTCACTTCCAAAGCTACCCAGCAATCAGTTTACATTTCGATCGTATAAAATCATGTGAGTTTGCTTGTAAAAATCCGACAGTTCAACTTGAAAGAATTGAGAAAATGTCGAAAGAATTTTTCTGTAAGTAAAAAAAAAAACGTTTCTTTTGTTATTATTCAGGCCCCGTGCTCAAAATGCGCATGCAATGGTAAATGCAGCATTTTTATTTGAGTTTGAAACTGTTGGTGTAAAAAAGTCGGTAAAATCATGTCATATCTGTTATGGTGGAATCAATCCAAAATTCATTCATGCCGAACAAACCGAACAACTTTTAACCGATGTCGATGATTTATATACGAATGAAAATATTCAAAAAGCGATTGCGTGTTTACAAGAAGAGTTGAATCCAGATGATGTGTTACCAGATCCATCTCCAGAGTATCGAAAACGATTGGCCATTGCATTGTTTTATCGATTTTGTTTAAATACAATTCCAACAGCTAAGAAAATTAGATATGAATTTCGAACGGGTGCCAAAGCAATTGAACGATCATTGTCTTCAGGAACACAAAGTTTTGATACCAATGAAAATTTATGGCCATTGACCGAACCGATTTTGAAGAATGAAGGGCTTATACAATGTTCAGGGGAGGCACAGGTAACTTTTTTAGTGTGTAGAACG